CTTTGATATATTGTTAAAATTTCTGTATACAGAACATGTTGATTACGCCATCGATCTTTCACTTGCCGGTGCGTTTCGTCAGATTTATGTTCTTTGAAAAGCTCTTTGCTTTCGGCTTTTGAATTCCCGGTTTTCGAGAATTTTTTTTGTAACAGTGTTTTTTTTTTGCAGGAATATCACTGGCAGAACCAAAAACAGAGCCTCCGAATTACTTTTTTGCCGTTGTACAGCAGGCTGCAGCAATCACTCATCTTTTCCATAAGCAATACGATGATTCCATCTTTCCTTTGGTTAGGTAAGATTGCGGTAATTATAGCGATACTTGATCCGAAATCATGATTATTGATGTATTGTGCAACAGCAATGGTACCTTTTTCAGTGATACACCAGTTGAAGATGTCTGTGCAAAGAAACAAAGCGATTGCTTACGAAATGTTGAAAATCGCATAAATCTTGGTTTAGAGCGACAACTCAATGTCGTTGTCGGATACATACGCTTTTTATTGAGCAACGAGCAAAAGAAAACGGATTTTCGTCCCGAAGATGAAAATCAACAAGTCACAGCTATGTCCTGTGTTAGTTTTTCGAAATCTTGCCTCGGCTTGGATTATTTTACCGTTTTGCAGTGAGTTGCCCATTTTGTTCAGCTTCTTTGGTTTCTTCATAGCACACTTTTGCCCGATACATACAACTGACAGTGTATCCATAGTTGCTTTGACTAATTTTGCATACATACTGGGACAATAAAAATTTGATATGATCTGGACTTTTGAAAATTTTGCTCATTTTTGACAGCGATAACAAATTGTGTGAAATTTTTCTTCTTTAAACTTACTGAGATTGAGAAATTCTACAGGCATGTGCAGTGGTTGTGAAATATTTGACAGCGGAAGTGCAAATAATACGTGATAGTTTGGACGGAGGCAATTTGACATCCATTATGCTGGAATTCGGGCGCCGTTTTTACAAAGTTTTTCTGAATCACATTTACCAGTTCACTTACAATTCCCAAGGCGCAATGCTGTTACTCTGTGATATCAACGAATACAGGTTATTTCATACGCCACCTTTCAGTCGCTTTTGCTTTTCTCATGCATAGATTTTTAGAGTTTCTACGGGCTATTCATTGTCACCAGGAAGGGCAGGTACTGCCTTTGCTGGTCTTTACCCTTCACTGAATGGGCCGTTGTTCCTCCCCCTTAATTACTAGCCTTTTCCTTTTGCCTACAGAGTCTTTACGGTCCGTACTGCCTTCCACTTTCCATTAAGCAGTTTTGTACCGGTACTTTCTTACTGAAATAGAAAGGTCATGGATTTTATTTTCCAATATTTTTACAGGAAATATCAGCAACATTAATACGATTTGTAATACTGGTACGTTTTTTTTCGATGCTTAAATAAGGATTATTTCGATATTTAGGAAATGTGTGATGAGTTGGAAAATCCCAGATGTTGACAAGCAGTTCGAATCGCTGCATGCCCTCGCAAATTTGCTTGTTGTTGTGCCTGAAAATCTGAACGAAGCATGTTCTTCGCAACTATTAGTACGTTTTTGTTTCCAATGTTTAAATAAGGGTTATTTTTGTGCATTTGAAGTGTAGCAACCGTCCCCTTTTAACCATATTCTTCATTTTGTAACGGATTAAAAAACGCCGGTTTGAATACCGGGTAGAAGTATGCTTTGAATATGAGGAAATATCAGCTACATTTATTTGGCTGTAAGCAGTCGTAGTACTGTGCGACATTCGAAATTGATTGAAAATTTTCTTTTTTTTCCAGCGAAACAAATTCCAAAAGTGGTAGTTTCCGGTTGATAATCGTTGCGTAACTCCTTCGCTAAAGACCTTTTTATGCGAATAAGCTTGAACTGGTGAAGTAAATAACATCATTCCGATAATGTCCTTTATTATTTTATTCTTAATTTATGCTTTCAACTTACGAGTTTTAATACAAAATTATCTGAACGTTAAATATTCGTGACGTGCCTGGGACAGTAGTTAGCCCATAGTCTATCTCTGTACATATATATGTACATATACACATATATATATAT